GGGTTTCTTGGATCGGAGCGCGCCGGGGGCGCTGCCGGAGGCGCCGCCTGTGGGGTCCCAGCGCAGATCCAAGAAATCCGCGCGGACCGTCAAAGGAAATGTTTATGCAGTTGCGTTTGTTCTTCTACAGCGGGCAGCAGGACGCCCAAAGCAGAACTGGTCATCAGCACCATCCTGCAGCCACGAGCCGCAACAGCACGCAGCAGCGGCAAGCATTACCAGCAGCACGTAACAGCGATTCAAGCAGGTAACAGCGACAGCAAACAGCAACACTCAGTAGCATGCGTCGAATGCGAGGGATGATCCCCGCACTATCATTTCAGCGTTTCGGCAGCAAGTCCTCAATATCATGCCAGTTCGTGCATGACGTATTCCACGAGTCAGCCCTTGTCTCTTCTACAATGCCGGAACCTCTGAGTGCGAGAAGGCGTTGTGGATCCATCCGCTTTGTTCCCCTCCGGGAGGCCCGAAAAGGGCTGCTGGGCTAGCTTGGACAGCCCTGCGGACCTCGGGCCACACCCCCTGTACGGCTCAACAGAGCCCACAGACGGCCGAAGAGGCGCCCAACTTGGCCCTGATACGGCCTCTGTTAGATGTCTTTCTGGAGCGCTGCGGAGACGGAGAACACACATGTGCAAAGCGTGCGCGTTCTTCTAAGAGATCGGGGCGATCTGGGCCTTTCGGGGCCACGCTTGGAGTGCCTGGGGCCTCTTAGAACGGCCCAAAAGGATTTCAGAAAGGCGCCCCAGAGAGCCGCAGTCGGTAACACAACCGCCCAAGTAGCGCCCAAGGCGGCCTATGGAGGGCCCAGCGAAGCCCAAACGATGCCTCCAGAGGCCCCCGCGCAGCCTTCAAAGCAGCCCCGAGCGGCCGCAATCGTCCCAACACTTTCGGAGAGCGTCCCCACCCCCCCTCCTCGCCATGAGTCTCGCTCCTTGCTCCTCGCTCCTCGCTTCGCTCACGAGCTGCAGATTGCATCATCTTGCAGGGGCACCAAGCAGCAGCACTCCGAAGCCCCAAGCAGCAGCAGCGACCACAAGCAGTCCACAGCAGGCAACGGCAGCACAGCAAACGTGAGCAGCAACGACATGCCGCAGGCAGCAGCACTCTGCAGCTGCAGGCAGCAGCAGCATCAGCAGCAGAGGCGAAGTCGGGGCCCGTTGTTATCACGAAAGCCTTTCGCTCACATCTCTGCCCTGGTCCAGCATGCCATCTCAAAATGATTTTGTGGCTGGCAGGTCACGGGTCAGCCCTAGTCAGCTACAACGCTGGGATCAGTGCCTGCAGGAAGGGCGAGCAGTGGCAGCGGGCTTTGGCGCTGCTCAGCGAGATGTCGGAGGCGAAGCTGGAACCCGACGTCATAAGCTACGCCTCTGGAATCAGTGCGTGCGAGAAGGGCGAGCAGTGGCAGTGGGCTTTGGCGCTGCTCGGCGAGATGCGGGAGGCGAAGTTGGAGGCAGACGTCATCTTTATTTCAATGCGGGGCCATCTGCGCGCCCGCCCGGCCCTGGTTGGCACTGCCTCAGCGGCCCTGCTCGGAGGGTGACGCCGTCCAGTCACGCCTTTTCCTTTTCGCATCCGCAAACAAACACGACGATTGAATTGCTTTGAGTTTGTACTGATTTGTTTTAATGTCCTGTTCCAGTGGTAGCTGTCCGCATGCAGATGTCGCACAACGCGCGTCCTGGCTCAGCTCCAGTTCAAGGCCATCCTTGCGGGCAGGCCACCCTGGCACTCGCCTCTCTCCTTCCGCCCTCATGCTGCCCACCTCCGCATGACCACTTCCGACGGCGATGCGCTGCCGGATCTGCGCCGCCCGCGCGGCGTCGACGGCCCCGCCCCGCCGCGTGATCAGGTTTGCGCGGCGCATGCGGCGATGGCGGCGGCGGCCCCGCCGCAGGCTTGGCCAGACCCACCGCTTCAGCTGCCAGCGTTACCGGACTGACGCAGTCCACCGTCGGCCTCGGCATCGGCGAATCCGAAACCGACGTCGACGAGGCTGGCGATGCGGCGGGCGGAGCCGCGGGAGCCGCCCCGCCCGCACCCTCAGCAGCAGGTTTCTCCGTGCCAACAGGTGCCTCAGCGCGAACCTCATTCGCTGACCTCATCGAGCATCCGGTCCATGGCGCACTTCGAAAACCTCCGCGCGAGAGCGGCCCTCGGTGCACCCGCCCGTTGTGCCGTCAGAGATGAAGACGCGGAGTGATTTTCAGGCGGTCCTCCGAGCAATGGAGTATTCCCTCAAGTCCTCTTGTGATTGGCGTATGCTGGGCCTTTCGCCACTGGAGGGCCCAGACCTGGAGCTCGGCGCCTCGGAGTCTCGTCTCCTGCTTGCCGAGCTCGTTGGGCCTACCATCCACACTGCGAATTGGAACAGTCTGGACAAACAGGGGGCCGAGAAACGAGATCCGACGATAGCTCGAGCGGCGGAGCAGTGCGCCCTCTCGACTGGCTCCTGGAAGGCGGAGCGGGAGAAGCTGCGCGCATCGAATCTGCCGTTGTGAGAGGAGCTCGGCGCGCAGGTGCTCGACCTCCTCCGAATGACAGCGACGGCGGCTACACAGCCGCCGGATTGACCTTCAGGCTGAGCGCAAGCTCAGAAGACGCCCCAAGGTGGTTTCTCGGCATTCTGGCCCGTGACCTCAATGGCCGCGTGTCCCCGCGATGCCGCGGCTCGTGGCGCCGCGGCGCATTTGCGACGGGGCCGATCGCGAAAACCTTGCGGTGCCAAACGGTGGCGCGCAATCCGCTCGTTGGCCTCGAGTTCCGAGAGAACACATGCCGTTGGCCTTGGCACTCCCATAGACCGCATGGCACGGACGCGAGTTTGCCGGGAACACAGGGCCACGGCGATGAGTTCCGAGAGAACGCATGACAGTGCCCAGAAACCGCATGGCGCGGACACGAGTCTGCCTGGGAACACATGGCAACAGCAATCCCCTTTGCACCCCAGAGTCACAAGCAACAACAATATCAAAATCCCTATGGGATTCGCGTGGACATGGGTTCTGCGAAAATACATGGCCAGGTCACGCGGTCCACCGACGCACATGCGCATTTTTCAGATCCCCCCTTCCCCGCCCCAATCCCGCCTTCCCCTCCTGCCTCCCCCCCTTTCCTGTCGCTCCACCGCCCTCCTGGGCTGCCTCCTCGTTCCCGTGGCCCTTGGGGTGCTTCGTGGCCCATGGCGTGCGGCCCGTTGCTCATGACCCCGTGGCCCGCGGCCTATGGACTGTTGCCCGTGCCCCGTTCCCCAGTGGCCGTGGCCCCTGGCACGTGCCCTCTCGCCAGTGCCTGGGCCGTTGAGTCCAGTAGGTGCCCGACGGCAGGTATCTGGTAACGCGCGTCGTCATGGCTACGAAATGTTCGGAATCTGACGGCACCGGATGCTGCGAAGACACGATTACACATTGTTCCCCAATCAGTGCTTGCATTTAAGGGGCCCTAGCGGATGTTGGAAGAGAAGGCGAATGTTACATGCCGATTTTGGCAGCAGGCTTGGTTCCTGGGTTCCCGGTTCCGCGTTCCCGGGCTCCCGGTTCCCAGGCCGATTTCGGTGGGCGGCGAGGTTCCCAGGTTCCCGGGTTCCTGCTCGATCTTCTTATCGGCCGGTCTCAGCATCGATTTCATTTCCCACCTCTCTGTCGATCTCACCATCGATCTCACAATCGATCTCGCAATCGATCTCGCAAACGATCCCACCAGAGATCGCACGCGCGATCTCGCGATCGATCTCCCTATCGATCTCATTGAATCGATTTCGCTCTCGGTCTCACGATCGACCTTACAATCGTCAACTACCGAGTCCACTATCGATCTCATTATCGATCCCACAGTCGACCTCAACATCCACATGATTGATTTTCAGATCATCCACCGATTGGGTTTTCTCAGGTGTAACTCATTTTTCAGTTTTCGAAAATTCTTTGATTTTTGAGGGGCAACATCCTTTTCTTTCTAAGTGTTCTATCCTGGGCCTCTTCCTGGTCACTAAGGGCCACGAACAATTAAAAACGAACACAATTAGAATGAGCACGATTGTAAATGAACGACGTGTAGGTCGGCTGGATGGCACGCCCAATAACGCTTCGTTGATCGACCTATGCGCGCGCGCTTTTTCATTCAGCTCGTAGCGACTGGCCTGTGGTTATGTTGCGATTGGCGTGCAGCCGCGTTGCTTGCGACTGGGCCGCAATCTGGCTGGCTGGCCGTGGTTGTGAACCGGTGGTTCTGGCGGTCAAAGGGCTTCTATGATCTCCGATTGCGCTCGCGCGTGCGTAGCCTTGCGAGCTGTGCGCAGCACTTGCCATGAGCCATAATACCTCCCCCCCTCTTCGTCACCCCCCTCTTTGCCGCTCCCGATTTTTTTCCTCGACGGCTTCTCGTTCCGCACGTGAGCCCACCTTAGGACGCGATTGCTGCACCAAGCCTCAAGGAGCCTAACTCGTGCTGCTCTGTAAGGGAAAGGTCGACCGTGTGCAGTCTCTTCCAAGGTGTCGTGGACGGTAGTCCACGGGTCAGAACTAGTCTTCTCTCCTACACGGCTGGCGGAAGCGCATACCAGGAGGTTGAGCACAAGGACGCGGTTCAAGTCTCTAACATCGCCCCCGGCGCGTGGCATTGCGGGCTTCGTGACGGTCCCACATGGCCTGAGACGCTCCCACACGGCCAAAGAGGGCGCCACGATGGCTTTCAGACGATTCAAGAAGGTCCCAAGACGGTCCAAGAGGGCTACAAGAGGCCCCCCCAGAGGGCACCGAGAGGCCCAAACCATGTATTTGCTTTTTAGGTGTTTCTATGATTTTCGACGTTCTCGCCTGGGCCCCAAGCAGGGGAACTGGACCTGGCATTCCGCGCCCTCCGTCCCAATATGACCCCCGAGACCGCCAGCAAGCGCCCAGGTCCAGCCTCGCGTTATCATGTCAGCCTTCCGACAGCACGTCCACCACCACATGCCAGTCCGTGCAAGTGTCGCAGATGTCGGGTCATCCCTACGTCAGCCACAGCGCTGCGATCAGCGCGTGCGAGAAGGGCGAGCAGTGGCAGCGGGCGCTGTCGCTGCTCGGCGAGGTGCGGGAGGCGGCGTCGGAGCCCAGCATCATCCCTGCTGCGAAACCGCACCTGACACCTCCTCGATCAGTCTCGAGGTCCCCCCGAGTGCTTTGGGCCGCTTCCGACATGTCTCCAGGCGCCCTTGTGGATCCTTCGGAGGGCTTCACGCGTCCAGAGACAGCGAAGAAGATGGCCCAAGACGACATCAAGATGGCCCCGAGAGGCTCTACGATGGCTCCGTCTAGCGCCATCGGCAGCAGCGCGCACCAGCAAATCGGTACACTGTAGCAACATATGTACATTGCAGATGTTACAAAGAGCGTGTTCTAGAGGTGCTGGCGGAAAATCGGGTGGTGTCACTGGGGGGTCCTAACCCGTCCCCCCCGTCCTCGAAATCAGGGGGGGGGGGTCACTACTGGTTCGAACCCCCCCCTTCCACCCACCCCCCAGTCCATCATGAAAAGGGGGTGGGGGTCACTACCCGTTCGAACTTCCCCCCACTTCCCCTCGCCGCCGGCAAACGAACCCCGCTCCTCGGGACAGTGAGACAGCGGTGGGGACAGTGGGACAGTGGTGGGGACGGTAGTGGTGGGGACAGTGGTGTGGGGACAGAGGGGCAGTGGCGGGGACAGTGGGGACAGAGGGAAGGCGGTGGGGACGTTGTTGGTGAGAACAGTGGTGTGGGGACACTGGGACACTGGTGGGGAGAATGCAGACAGTGGGACAGTGGTGGGGACGGTAGTGGTGGGGACAGTGGTGAGGGCGGTGGTGAGCACGGTGGTGGGACAATGGGACAGTGGTACAGTGGGGAGAGTGGTGGGGACAGAGGGGACAGTGGGACTGTGGTGGGGACAGTGGGGACAGTGGGACAGTGGTACAGTGAGACAGCGGTGGAGACAGTGGGAACAGTGGGACTGTGGTGGGTGCAGTGGGGACAGTGGGACAGTGGTGGGGACAGTGGGGACACAATGGGGAGAGTGGGACCGTGATGGGGACAGCGGTGGGGACAGTGGGGACAGTTCGACAGTGGTGGGGGCACTGGTGGGGACAGATGGGACAATGGTGGCAACAGTGGGGACAGTGTGACACTGGTGGGGGCAGTAAGTGGGGACAGTGGGACAGTGGTGGGGATGGTGATGGTGGGGGCAATGGTGTGGGGACAGTGGGACAGTGGTGGGGAGAGTGGGGATACTGGGACAGTGGTGTGGACGGTGGTGGTGGGGAGAGTTGTGAGGGCGGTGGTGAGCACGGTGGTGGGACAATGGGACAGTGGGGACAGTATTGGGGAGGGTGGGGACAGTGTGACAGTGGTGGGAACAGTGGGACAGCTCAGCGGGACAGCGGCGGGGACAGTGGGGACAGTGGGACCGTGGTGGGGACAGTGGGAACACTGGAACAGTGGTGGGGACAGTGGGGACAGAGGGGAGAGTGGGACCGCCGTGGTGGGTTGACTGGCGGGGACAGCGGGGACAGTGGGACAGTGGTGGGGGCATTGGTGGGGACAGTGGGGACAGTGGCGGGAACAGTGGGGACAGCGGGACAGTGGTGGTGGGGACGGTGGTGGTGGGGACAGCGGTGAGGGCGTTGGTGAGGACGGTGGCGGGGACCCAGGAGTCGTTTGCCGGCGGCGAGTGGGGGGGGGGGGAGGTGGGTTTTCGAACCGGTAGTGACCCCCTTGGTTTTTTGGAGGGGGGGGCCTCGAACCCGTAGGGACTCCCCCGGGCTTCCGGCGGGGGGTGGGTGGGTTAGGGAATGGGGGGTTTTGCTGGTCGAGCAGTGGGCGGGGGATTTTCGGAGGGGGGGGACGGGCTCTGGAGGAAGAGGGAGGGAATTTTCCACAGTAAAGCGGCGGTGGGTCACGCTCTGTCAAATGCTTGCGCCACCAATCATGACCTAGCTGCGCGAGAGCGTGCGGACGGGCAACCGATCGTTTGAATGGTGTTTGCCAATGTGAATGTATGTAATAAAGTTGTGCCGTCGTGCCCATTATGCTTTATACCCCACGTTCAAGCCACCTTCAGGTGATATGTCAATCACTGGTAGTTGTTCGTCTCTCGTCGCTCGGCGCCACTTGTCCCCATTGCGGATGTCCAGCGCTCGGTTAGATCAAATGTTGCTAAGAGTGGGGAGGCTCCTTGAATGGGCCTGTCGGCGCAAAGTTGGCAGGGCCCGCCCTAAACAGCGGGATTGTCCACTCCCTAGTGGAGGCAAACGATTAAGAAAATGTCCCCCCCTCCCCCGTCTCGGAGGCCTCAACATGAATGAGTGGGGCAGACTAATAGAATTCAGCCGCCAGAAACTGTTTGTTTAATCGTCCGCCCTCCTGGCGTTCTATCTCGCCGCCTTGCGGAAACTGATTTTCGAATTGTCCTCCTGCGCTCGTTTGATCACCCGCGCCCGCGGGGGGAGGATTGCGGAGAGGATACCTATGTTGTTTCCCGTATCTGCCTTTCCGAATAAGGAAGAACATAGGCTTCAGTAGGCAAGCGAGGAGGAAAGGAAAATGGAGGGTGGGGAGGGGAGGGAGAAAGAGAGGGAAGGAGGGAGGGAAGGCAGCGAAGCACAGAGGAGCGAAAACAACAGGTATCCGAAACGAATCCGCTACATTTGCCGAAACGGTTATACAACGCCCTCCGCCCTGAATTGTCAGCCCGCGCTCCCCCCAGACCCTCCGAAGAACCCGGGATTGTCCGCCCTCCGTTTGCTTGTTCCGCCCCTCCGCTATTGCGGGTGTCGCGGAGGCTCGCGAAGTATTCTTTAATCGTGCGCCCCAGAACGTTTTTCTAATCGTGTGCCTCCATTGCGTGTAATATGTTGTTGGTCCAATATGCATATAGTGCAGCCTGCGTGTTGCAGTATATGCGCGCACACAATGTGTAGCTATATGTCTACATCGCACAAACTGCGGTCATCTCACCCGTGGGAGTTGTAGCTGTGAGCGAGCCACAATGTTAGAGCAACTATCCGACCCACTTACCTTCAGCTTGTCGGCAACGCCCATCTGTCGTTATGACGCGAGGACCCTTGTCATGCAGGTGGTTGCTGGTGGTGGCGCCAATTTCGAGGACGTCAACTACGATGACGATGACCCAACCAACCTACCCGCAACTTGCTGTCAGCACTCACAGGGCTTTTTGCTGTTAAAGCTCAGCAGGCGGAAGGACACGCGGACCCTGCTCCTGCAGATCCATGGCTTGGACACGGGAGCAGCGCTGGTGGCGACGACGACGATGACGATGGCGGTGGCGATGATGTCGAGAGCTACGACAACGACGATCGAGATAACGACGGTTGGGACGGTGACGACCTCGATGATGGTGTTGGTGATGAGGTTGGCGGCGACGCTGGCCATGATAATGGCGATGGTGTCGGCGAGGATGATCAGGGAGGTGCGCGTGGGCAGAGCATGGAACACTTCTGACAGCAGTTCTTCCGAAGAAGCCATTAGGGCATCATTTTGCACACCCGCGTTGAAATGCTTGGTTTCGCAAAGGCTGCGACGTACGCGCGCGCGGAGGCTCTCGCGTGCTGCCCGCACCGTACTATTTGTCGGAGCTGGCGGCTGCGCGATGGCATGTGCCCTGAAGTGTTTCCGACTTGCGTGCGCGTGTGTCCCGCATGTTTTTATCGATACATATATATATATATATATACAGATGTATGTATATGATGCTGTTGCACGGCACGGGAATATTGTTTTTCGCTTTAAGGCCCGAACGTCATTTGTTTTGCCGGTTTTGGGTCTTCCACGCGCGGCGGTGCTTCCATGTGGCGCCACGGGGATTCCTGGCAGATGCTGTCACGGAACGCTTTTCCTTGATCGACCCATGCGCCTTTTCTCTTATATCTCGCAGGGGATGAGGGGGGGGGGCGATACCAGCTGGCCGGGGATGAGAGCTGTGATGAGCGACCGTTCGCGGTGAGAATCAACAAAGACTACCTTCGGTGGGGTTGTTGTAGATCCTGGTTCTTGTGAGGGCAACTCTTACAGTGGAGGCCCATACCAAGAAACACCCTGCTTGCCTCCATGGCGCCCTGGGTGTCTTGGGTCTCGATTGCTTTGCCACGGAAGGCGCGACGCTGCCACACCAAACTTCGCTGGTCGTCCTGGGGTCTCAGGGTCGGGTTCCTCGTGGAAGGTTTCCTGCGGTCGGGCCCCCACTGTACGGTGGGGGCGTGGGTTGAGGACTTGGCCCAGGAGGCTGCAGACCCCGGGGGATCCCTTATGTGATGAGGGCGGCGGTGCTACCCACGGCCGATGCACGATGGGAGTTGCACTGGCTTCCAGGCCCTGGGCTCTTTCTCCAGTGGTTCCTTCTCTCGGGGGCGGAAAAGAGAGGGGTGATGACTAGGGGGGGTGGTGGATATCATGGCGGGGGTCATGATATTTCCACAGATTTCATGGCGCCTCTTCTTATTTCATTGCGTCCCTTGCCCCCCCGCTGGGCCGCGCACATGCCGCCGGTCATGATTTGCACCCCCCCCTCTTGGACACCCCCCTCTTGGCCGCTCCCGATTCTCGGATGCCCTCACCGTCTACGCGGCGCAGGCGTCGGCGATGCGCTGGCGCTGCGGCGCGATCCTCCGACCCCAGGCTGCTCGGGGACCCCCCCATCGAGGACGCCTCTGAAGTAGGAGCGCCCGCCAGCGCACGAGGCAAAGGCCACGAGCGCGCACTGGACGAAGACACACAGAGAACACCCAGCCAGCACACGAGGCGGCGGCCAGGCTGTCGCGGGGGGTCTTCGGGCCCCCCAAAGAAACATGGAGATCCGTTCAGTCATGTTGAATGGGGAGGAGGAAAAAGGTACCCATACCGCTACCCCTCCCCCGGTTTCCCCCCTTTGGGCCTCCTGGGAGGCCCTCGTCGCCACCGTTGGATTCGCCTCGAAGTCCTGGTCAGAACGGGCCCCAGGAGAGGTTCAGGGAGTAGCGGTGTTGGTACTTTTTGGTCTCCCCGTGAATGTAGAAAACAAGCGATGAGACTTAGTGCGAGCGC